AGAGAGAGAGAGAGAGAGAGAGAGAGAGAGAGAGAGAGAGAGAGAGAGAGAGAGAGAGAGAGAGAGAGTCTTGAATGCACAAATTGAGCTCGACGCCATCCTGAGGAATCAAAGTGCCCTGGTTTCAGACTCTACATCATGCTCCTGGGTGAAGTTGAGGTCGCTTTTTAATTGTATTTTAACGGGCAACCTTATTATTCCTGCCTCGTGAAGGGCAAAATTGCATGCATCCGCCCGCAGTTGTGCCTTCTTTTAGCTGGTTTTCTGATGGATTCATTGACTTGCACCAGATGGGTGTTTTCCTTTTCTTTTCTCTTTTCTTGAAAGGGCACCGGCCTTGAGGTATCAATGTCGGACTCACTGCCCTTAGCTAATTCAGAATGAGTCAATTCATCTAGTTCCATGGGGATCGGAACTCTTTTTTTTTTTTTAATACAAAAAACAACGCTCCAGTCTATTGGTGGGGAGCTGCACCTGCTGGAAAAATGGGGATCGGAACTCAGGTCTGTCCATCAACAGTTCACGAGTGTAACCCCACCAGCTGGGTGTTTGTAGCAGAGTATCTAATTTTTGAAATCTGCTGTAAATAATTGATAACAAAGGTGGAGGGACTCGGCTTGCTACCGTTAAACCACCAGTACCGCCACGTTTTTAGGCCGTTAATGTGGTGGCCGAACTGGTGCGCCCCGTGTTAATGTGTTCTTTCCAGGACGGAGATACTCTTGGCATCAACATGGGTGACCGATCATTCCATTTCTGCTGGTTGGCTGGTTTGGCCGGGTTGAGCTACAACATTTGTCTGACCCGCTTACCGTCTCTGTGCTTGTGCAGACGAGGAATTTGACTTCGCATCCTACATGGTCTCAAAGGCAGCGATTGTTAACCAGGCAATGGACGAGGCAACAACAGTCAAGTACCCCGAGAAGATTTATGAAGCCATGCGCTATTCACTATTGGCTGGTGGGAAACGCGTTCGGCCTGCTCTCTGTATTGCGGCATGTGAGTTGGTCGGGGGCAACGTGGAGGCTGTCCTTCCCACTGCCTGTGCAATGGAGTTCATCCACACAATGTCACTCATTCACGATGATCTACCTGCTCTTGACAACGATGATTTCCGCCGAAATAAGCCTTCCAATCATAAGGTAGGTGATTGCCGAGTCAATCGTTCGAAACAGATTTGGTTTGAAAATGCTGCCACTGACTGGGCCACCTGGCCAGAAGCAGAAGACCAGGGAAAAAAAAAAAAAAAAACTGTCAAAGGTAGCTGTTACTGTGTAATTATATCCGCTTTGCAAAAGGAAAAGCCTTGTTTTTTATCGTTGGTTTTCAGAAAGCGCCCGAAAATTGGCATTGTAACCATTGTTTTCATTGAAGAATACCAACGTTTTACAGGTGTGAAGTTATGGAAAACAGACATTTAGCATGTGCCAATGAAAGCATTAGCGCAATAATACAGACATTTTTACTGAAATAGCCTAATAGCCTAGTAATAGGTGATTTTTTCACAACAAAAAATATCATTCAGGCTAATGCTCACAATGAGGGGAGGGCTACGTGAGGTTTGGAGACAATGATAACATGGCCGTTTGGCTGATTATGTCCTTTCTCTTTGGGCTGGTTGTTTCCGTCGAACAGGCCTTTGGTGAGAGTACTGCGATTTTAGCAGGCGACGCTCTTCTGACATTTGCATTCGAGCACATGGCGAGAGCCACCAAGGGAGTTCCAGCTGAGAGAGTGCTGAGAGCAATTGCATACTTGGGGAGGGCTGTTGGCACAGAGGGCGTAATTGCGGGTCAGGTAATGGACCATCAGATATTACCTGTAAGGGTGAATTGATGCATGCAGGGATGCAGGGAGAGGGAAAGGC